GAGGCAGTCAACTTAGAGTGCAGGCCAGGAGGGTTCACCCTGCCTAAGCAGACTCCACCTATTCTCACCCTGCTGCTCCTCCAGGGACCTGCTGGGTGTAGCCCTGCTTCTGGCACAGGAGAAGGAGGTGAGCTCCCAGCTGCCCCACCACAGCATCTGGAGCCCATGCTGTGCTCCCTCTGCCAGGGACTGCCAAGAGCTGAGGCTCTGAGGAACCACCTAGGACACTGGCCCTCTAAGGTGCTCCCAGGAGCACCCAGCTGCTCTCCAGCAAGGAAAATGGTTGGCACCCACTGAGTACCAGGCATGTCTTCAGGGAGCACAACCTGGAGGCTTCCTGAGTCAACTCCTTCCCTGTGACCCTGCTGCTTACGGTCCCCAGCCCAGTCCCCTCAGTCCTATATCTCCAGTTTTCTACACACGAAAGAGTGTTTGCTTAGATTGCAAGTGGGGTCATGTTTTTCCCTGCCTACACACTCCCAGCAGGCTCTGTGTCGCCCTTGGTATGAAGGCCAGTCCCCTCAGCACGCCCATCGCGGTTCCCCCGAGGGCAGGTTCCTACCCCTCCCCCAGCTTCAGCCACTGCCGTCCATTGTCCCAGCGCTTTGCACTCAGCTCTCTGAGGGTGGGTGCAAGTCCTCCCACTCTGAGCCTTTGCACATGCTGTTCCCTCTGCCTCCATTACTCTTCCTGCCCAGTTCTCAACTGTGCTGACCTTCTTCTAAGAGCAGTTTAGCCCCCTTTCTGGCCTCTGCCCCATCACTGTGGCGGCTCCAGCGGCATAAGGGGAGTGACCACCCTCAGTGATGAAGGAGAAGGGAGCAGGCCCCGTGTCTGGCCATCCTCGGGGGCAGTAAGCAGCCTCGGAACAAAGTCTGTTTGATCACAGCCCCTTCATCTAGAAAAGTAGGATACAGATGTTGCCTGCAGCCTGTAGTCCGAGCGAAAGCAAATCCCACTTTCCCAGCTCACTCCATCTCCAGCCTGCTGGCTGTGATGGGAACTCTGCCCTCTGAGCTACAGGGCAGCTCTGCCCAAGGAGGGGGCAATGTGTTTTCATTTCAAATGTGATTGGCTAATGGCTGGCCACAGAGCCCACCTGGGTTTTCAGTGCATATACCAGGCATCTGATTAATACCACGCACATGAAACTCCATCCCTAAGAGCCAGAGGTTGAAGCAAAACAGGCGGGCTAATTGCTAATACAGGAATTAATATCAGCAAGCATAGATCTGGAAGGCAGCATGAACAGTAAAGCTAAATCCAGCAGCAAGTCCTGAGGGACAGAAGTGGGCTGCACTGCCACCAAGTTCTCATGTACTGTCATGGGAGCTTGAAGGATGCCATAATTATAGGACAGAGAGATCTTCCCCAGGAAGCCCCCCACCCCACCCCAGAACTCATCGCTTTCCCTCTAGGTTGGGCCTGGTGTGTGTCTCACATTGTAGTATCTGCATGAGGCTGACTTCCTATAGAACTGGGCTCCTCTGGTCCCCAGTGCACTGTACAGTGCCTAGAGCATGGCTGGACTGAGCTTGCTAGGTGAGAGAGATGGATTGTTGAATGGATTCTAGGGATAGATAGTTGAAGAGATGGATGGAAGGAAAGTGGATGGTTGGATGGATGCATGCATGGATGGATGGATGCTTGGATAGATGAGTGGGTAGGTGGGTAGATGAGATGGAGGACAGATGGTTGGATAATTGGAAGGATGAATGGATGGATGGGAAGGAGATGGAAAGGGATAGATGGAAAAAATGGAGAGATTGAAGGCATGAGAAGGCCTTGGGAGGAACCCAGGACCTGGAGGTGCTTCACTGGGTCTTGGCATGGTGTGGGGAGAAGGAGACTGGGCTAGAATTTGGAGCCCTGGCTCTCCTGCAGATTGAGTAATTTTGTAAAGCCCTTCCCCACCTTCTCAGCCTGTGTGATGGGCTGTCCGTCCCTCTCTGACCCTCCAGCCTGGCCTGGGCTTACGGGAGATGGTAACACAGAGATACCAGGAACGGACAGAGGGCCTGGCTCCCTGCAAGATGCTGGTGTGAATGGGTCCATCAGGCCAAGCTGCAAAGGCAGCGTGGGGCTGGGGACCCAGCCCTTGGAGAGGTTGAATGGATTAGGGGGATAGATGGCTATCTTCTTTCTCTTGCCAATACTTTTACTAGAGTTGTTGTTGGTAACAAAAGGAACTGTGTGTGACGAAGAGCTGACAGATGGAAGCTTTTCCTCAGTAGACTTTAAACAGGTTTCCTGGTACAGAGACTAGACCAGAGCGTGGACATAGAGAAGGTCCAGGAGAGAGGTCCAGCCGAGCTGCCCTGTGGAGCTAAGGAGAGGCCCCATTCCTGGCTTCTTAGGGCCCGACAGATTCCTTGGTTACCCCACGTGAAAGCATAGACAGTAACTGCAGGGGCATGGCTTCTTTCAGTCCAGCAGGACTCTGGGGCAGGTGCTTGCCAGTGGGCACATTTACACATTTCTTCCAGGCTGCGTGGTGCAGTGGCAGCAGGTGGCTACTACTGGCCATAATTAAGCACTCACAAGTGGGAAGAGCCACAACACTACCCAGGGCTCACACTGCCAGGCTGGCTTGGAAAGCCAGTACATGTCTCAGATACCTGAGAGGCCCCTCCAGAAAGGAGACCCTAGCTGAACCTTCTGTCCGCACACTAGAGGTCTAAGGACTCAGGAAAACAGAGAGGGTGGAGAAACAAGGAAGGCCCAGGAGAGCCTCACTCAGACTCTTGGTTTTTCCAGTGAGAAAACAGAATGAGGAGTATGTGGGTACATTTATTAAATACCTACTGTGTGCACAGCACTGAGCCGGGCACTGGAGTATCCAGCCTTCATATTCTCCCATTGTACCCTGTGACATCATTGCCGTTATAACTGTGGGACCACATGTTCAGAGGGAGGGTGCCTAATGCAGGGAGGGAGGGATGGCGTGAGGATTCTCTCCCCCTAATGCAGGGGGAGGGTGTGGAAAGGCACACATGTGTGCACTATTACAAATGTGTATATGTGCACATTCCTGTCAATCTCTTGTGTACTCTCATGTCCATGTGTAAATGTGTGTTCATGTGTACACATGCATGCCTATGGAAGTGTGTTTTATGCATTCCTGGTCACACATGTGTGAACATCTTGATCATGTGTTTATATGTTCCATGTGTTCATTTTTGCACATATGCGTGGATTTAAATGTGTGCAGGGATGCATATATGTGTTTGTATGTGTACACTTCTGTTTTCATGTTTGCCTAGTTTTACGCATGTGACCTATTTGTTCACATGCTTACACAGATGTCACTGCATGAATTAGTCTCATTGGGGACAGTGGGACTGTGGGAGGTAGGGACTGCAGTGGTGAGCCAGGCTGGCTAGGGCCTAAGGATGGAAGGCCAGCATTGACTAGCTCCTGAGAGCTGGAGGAGCCCGAGTCAGGCACACAACCAGTGGGTGAATCTGCCTTCTTCCTGGGCCCATGATTGCAAAAGCAGAACTCTGGTTTGTGACTTTCGTGGAGAGGCAGTGGGGGTTCAGGCTCCAAGGACACAGCTCCCATTCTGTGTGTGTGGTGGTCTAGCTGCCCGCTCCCACCCCCAGCAGTATGAAACAATTTCCTTGGCCTGTCCAGGAAGGCAGATGACCTCACTGGACTCTTTCCATCTCTCGCTTTCATAGAGAAATTACAGTTTATAATTGGATGAAATCACGCGGGTGGTAATAGCAATAATGGCTTAGGCTGCAGCTACCACTGCCCCCTCTGCCGGAACAGGCTTCTCTTCCTTCCTGTCCAACCTGCCTGGGACACCTGCCTCTTGGCACCTGCACCCCTGACTGGCCCTGGCTACTCTGAGTTTGTGTCTGGCCTCCTGGGAAAGGTTCCAGGGAGTGCCCCTTACCCCATCATTCCTTCATACACCGACCACATCCTTTATTCTTCCCATGTGTTCCCTGTGGCCTCTGTGGGCTACAGCCATGGACAGCCACCTCTGCTCAGCACACGAACTTATTAAATATGCACCCTAGATGTGCCGGCTGCAGGTACTGAGTAGGCCTTGAACCAGCCACCTTTGGTACTACAGAGGAAAGTACCTAGATGCAGCTGAGCCTAACCAGAGCCTCAGATGTCATTAAAGCTCCTTTCCAAAGAGGGCCGCCTGCAGGGGAGCAGATGCCCGAGTTGGGCCTTCTTGGCTGGCTGCTAACAGAGGGAGGGGACAGCTTTGCTTTGTTTTGTATTCCTAGGGACAGCCTGCAGCGCCCAGGTCTCTACAGCAGGAAGGGCAGCTGGGTGTGGAAGGCTGGCCCCCCAGGAGACAGCCAGCTGAAGCAGGGAGGTCAGGGACACTGGAGACCCAACTTCATGGAAGTTGGGGTGTTTTGGAAGCCAAGGCCAGGATGGCCCAGTTGGAGCCTTCAAATGACATTTAATTAAGAGAAGCATGTGCTGGGGAAATGGAGGCTGCCCCAGGCTTGGCGCGTGGCTGGACAAGGCCAGGAGCTCCCAAGCTTTTTCTTTTTTGTTAATTATTACACCTATTTAGTTAGTTAGTGTGTGTGGTCAGGGAAGGACGGTGAGAGTCAGTTCTCTCCTCCTACCATGTGAGCTCCCAGGGTCTTCAGGCTTGGTGCTAGGTGTCTTCCGCCACTAAGCCATCGTGCCAGGCCTCCAGACTTCATCTTTCTCTGCCCAGTCCTTGCAGGTAGTTACAAGGAAGGGTTCTGCATATTACTTGGATTTAAAAAGTAATAAGTGGTGGGGACAGTAATCTCAGACCCTTGCCAGGCTTGGAGGGAAGTGGTATTTGTTCAAGGAAGGGGAGCTAGGGTCAGCAGTAGAGTGCCTGCAGAGAAACCCTATATTGGAAAAACAACAAACCAACCCAGAGACTGGGAAGCGCTGAGAACGAGGGGGTGTGGCCATGGCTGCCTGTAGTACTCATCCCTGGGGCTCTTGACTTCCTCGGATTTGATTGCTGGTGTTGCCTTTGGCAGGTGAAGAAGCTGGGAGTGGGTGAGAAGGCCTCCCTCTTGACAGCTGTGCCCAGGGGCTGAAGCAGGAATAACCCACCCTCCTGCCTCACCCATTCCAGAAACTTCTCTACAAACAGAAGCAGCCAAGCAGACCAGCCCCTGCCCCCCAAAGTGGCTTCCCAAAGCGGGGCACGCAGGCCTGACAGCTCAGCAGTGCGAGGCGGGCAATGTGGCTACAGCCTGTGGTGAACATCGGAACTCTGCCGAGGGGGTAGCAGACCCACCCCCACAGATGCGGCCTGAGCGGCAGGAATACTGATTCTTTGGAGAGTGGCTCCCTCTCAGCTCTGTCACGCAAGAGCGCTCTCTGCACTGAGCCATTCTGCCAAGTGACTTAAAGGGATTTTAAAAAGAAAAAAGAAAGAAAGAAAGAAACCCTGGTAAAGAAAAAGGGGGTAACAGCCCCACAGAGGCATTTCAGAAGAGGTGCGGCCTGTGGACAAAGGACCAAAGTTACAAAGAGCTGCGGTGGAAGTGGTGGCCAGTGAAAGGCCACACTCCCCGGGGACTGACATTGAGCTGTAGGGCATGCCCTGCTCAGGAGTCCCCGGGGGTGCACACAGAACACATACCCCTCACTCCAGAGAGCCAAGTCAGCAGTGCCCGTGGCCTAGGGTGCCAAAGATGCCGCTTGGGGCCCGCAGCCACATCTGAGGCCTAGCCACAGGAAGACTTCACGACCTCCTTACTCTCTGCGTGCCTCGTTGCTCCTGCTGCCCCAGAGCTGCAGGCTGTGGTTGAGTACCTCTGGGTCTGTTGGTGACATGGGGCCAGGGAGGTGAGCGTGGCCTGGAATTCTGAAGCAGTGACCCCAGTGGGACCCAGTGGCTCCGGGGAGCAGCAACAGAGGAGGTAAGAGTCTGGGGCAGGGGGCGTGAGGAAGGGTTCCTGGTGGCCCAGAAGGGTGACAAGAGTCTTTTTCCACCTGGAGGGAGCACAGTGCATGGGAGGGGCAACTGAGTCCTGCCCTCTGGACCCCCCACCCCCATGGGAGGCCTCTGCTTGCTGGGGTAGGGATCACCTGCAGGGCTCTGACAGGTGTACAGGAGGAGACCACTTGGGAGTGAGCCACAGCAGCAGCAGGGTTTCCTCCTCCTGGGCCTGGCCACCTTCTCTGTACAAATGGGACAACCATGAGGCCTTGCGGTGGGTTAGGCAAGAGCTTAGGGGACCAAGGCCACCAGCCTTGATACCTGCTACCCTTGAACTAGCAAGAATCCCAAGCTCTCTTCTGTTTGGACCGGCCCTGCTCTGGTCTGAGAGAGCCATAGTGGGGCTGATCAGGAGCTACCACCCGGCATCATCGGCACTGACCTCCAGTACAGTCCTTTTGTTGGTTAGAGGGAAGAGACGGGTCCAGAGAGGTGGACTGAGTGCCCCAAGGCCACACAGCAGGTGGCTGGCTGGACCAGCTCCTCCTGGGCTCCAAGAGGGGAGGGGTGGTACCTCTGCAAACAGTAATCCCAGCAACCTCAGAACCCCTCAGCGCCCTGGGCAGGGCAGGGAAGCCCCAATTCATTACTAAGATGGAAAATGACACTTCCCCACGCTCTGCCCCAAGAGAGGACCTGATTTATGACTGCGCCAGGGCCTGGGACATCCGTCAGAGCCGTGCGCTGCGTACGCCGTCTGCGGGGGCATTAATAGCCGTGTTATTAGCCACTGGCGTGAAGGATGCCCTGCGGATGGGCTATTTGCTGTTATTTATTATAAAGGCGCGACAACCTAGCAGCAGGGCCGCGAGCACACAGCTGGGCCCCGCCTGCCTATGGTTCTCTTCTCGGCATCTTCAACTTCCTCCCAGCCCCTAGGAGGAGCTAGGGGATAATTCCTGGGGCCAGGCCAAACCAGAGGGGAGCAGCAACCACCTCCTGTCGATCCTGGTGCTCAAAGCGCTGATAGAAAATCTGCTCAGCCGGCGTTGTGCAGCCTCACGGTACCAGAGGTGGAGAAACGCAAAGAAACACTCTGGGCTTTGGGGGCAGAGGTGCCTGGGATGGGCCTTGGGGGTTCTGGCTGAGACTGGTGTAAATGAGGGCAGGTCCCCTCCTTGAGTGTGCCTCTCCTCTGTACACATGGGCTAGAGCCAGAAACAAGGCCAGCTACTCCCAAGAGACCCCCTAGACTCTTTTTTTGTTGTTGTTGTTTTGTTTTGTTTTGTTTTTCAAGACAGGGTTTCTCTGTGTAGCTTTGCGCCGTTCCTGGATCTCATTCTGTAGACCAGGCTGGCCTCGAACTCACAGAGATCCGCCTGGCTCTGCCTCCCGAGTGCTGGGATTAAAGGCGTGTGCCACCACCGCCCAGCAAGACCCCCTAGACTCTTAAGAAGAGCCCATAGACTGGTGGCTGGCAAGAGGTGCTGGTGAGCTGGGGCATGTCCCATCACCTGCTCTTACAAACCTGTGGGGAAGGGGTTGAGAGTTCAGACCTCGGAGAGACTGCTCGAAGGCTGTCACTGGTCCTGTCCCTGCACATCTATGAAAGGCAGACAGATGGGCTCCGAGTCCTCGTCCTCCCACTCCCAGGGTTCGTTCTGTCGGTGTTCTGCGCTCGCATGCATTCATGGCATGGGCACTCATGGAGATGTGCCTGTAGCTGCACAGTGCCAAGCTGGCCACCAAGCTGGGGCACACCCAGGCCTTCCTGGGCCTGCTTCTCCAGAGCAGCTGAATTTGAAGAGCTCTGGATAGCAAGTCTGAGGCCTGGGTGGGTGGCCAGCTCTTCATAGTTCAGACAGGACTTTTTGTCTCTCAGGACTGCTATAATGAGGACACCCAGGCCATCATGGCCTCTGAGGTGGTACTGATGGGAAGGTCTCACCTCTGCCTCTTCTCCAGCTGCCTAGTTCTGGGCTTTAGAGTATAGAGCTGTCTCGTTTATTCAAGATGTGGGCTGGGGAGATAGCTCCATCAGTGAAATGCCTGGGTCCCCAGTGCCCACATGAAAGCCAGACATGATGGTACACATCTGTAGCCCTAGCACTGGAGGTGGGGACAGAAACAGGTGGATCTCTGGAGATCCCTGGCTGCCCAGCCTAGCCAGTCAGTGAGCTCTGAATTCTGCGAGAGACCTGTCTCAAAAGATAAGGGTGGAGAGCGATAAATACATCCCATGGCAACCTCTGGCCCTCACATACACACAGACATAAAGTATGTTTACGGAGCCTCTCTGGGCCAGGCTCATTGCTGGGCACAGGATAGGCCACACCCTAGAAGTTTAGGTCCAGTGGGAAGAGCCAGACACGTAATGGATGTCCAGGAGACTGGAGGTCACAAATAGGAATCCTCTTTCAGAGCAGGGCCGATTGACTGCCTGCTTCTGAGAGGCCCCAGCCTCCATGCCTGCCTGGGATCCATTCCAATCAGCACTTCCTACACACCTGCTCCTCTCTTCCCCTACAGCAGTCCAGGCTCCCGCAGGAAACTGAGGGGCTCAGCAGCAAAGATCCCGGCCCCAGCCCCGGTCTTGAGGACTGTCACTTGCCCTGCTGGTGCTGGCCCTTCTCTTCATTCTCCCGCCCACTGGCACTAAATCTGCCTCTTTTTTTTTTTTTTTTTTTTTCCTTCCCCAAAGGAATTAAGTCTCAGTGGAGGCAGCTTTACTCCAAAGGGACCCAGGCGGCAGGATCAGGTGGAGGACCGTTTCATTAAGAGATGCTGAGAGAGAAAGAAGCAAAATTACATGTGTCTCCTTTCGTCTCCCTCCCCCTTCCTGGCCCTGCATAGTTTAATATCGAATACTGCTATCAATATAATTAACCTCCTAAGACACAATTTGAAAGTCTTGTTTTTTAAAGCGATTCACTTTCTCTGAAGCCACGGAGGACATCCTGCTGCCCGGCCCCACCCAGCGGCCCACGCGCTTAGGTGAACTCAAAGTTCATTTCTGGTAGATTTGCATACCTGTCTGCAATTACTGCCAGTGATAACGGCTGATACATAATGCATGCGGCATGAAATTAGAAAAATAATTAACTTTAGATTTGAAAAGAATCCCCGCCCCCCAACTCTCCAGGCATTACAAATGCTGAGTGCTACCACTGGACAAGGACTGGGGAACTAAGCTGTTTGGGGTGATGGGTGAGACTGGTTGGCACCCCAGAGCAGCCCAAACTAGAGAATGCTAGAGAGTCAGGGTGTGCAGAAGGTGCTCCCATGGCATGTGCTGGAACAAGCTTCCAGTTCCTGGGCCTCATCTGTAACTTACCAGTGAAATAATGTGGCTAATGAAGTGACCCATCTTTCTCTGTGACCAAGGAGTGCTCAGCCAAGCTGAAAGTAGCCTATTTTATCCTCACAAGACCCCAAGGAAGTAGACTTGGTCCCATTTCCCAGACGAAGCCCTCAAGCCTGAAGCTACCCCTCTACATGGGCGAGACTGAGAGAAGGCAAGTCTTCTGAGGAGAGAGGCTGCCTGGGAGGCCGCCTCAGTCTTGTTTGCAGCTGAGTCCCAGAAGTAGCTGCTAACTACTGGATGAGAAACTGAGGGGCCCTTTGTTAATTTTTGACGGAGATAGAAGCAGCCCCAGCAGTGTAGGGCAGGGTAAGTGCCAATCACTGCTCAGCCTTCTCCCCGGGGGGCTGAATGCTGCTGTTCCTAGCTCAGTCTGCCTCAGCACAGGCTCGGCCTTTTGGAAGGACCTGAAAGCCTCAGAAGATTTAGGGGAGTCACAGTGAATTCCAGGAGGGGAAGAGACACCACCAGAGGCCCCAATTTGAGGATGGAGGAGGAGAAGTGGAAGATCTGGGGTCCACAAGGGCATTATTCAGCTTCAGGAAACTTACATGAGTACATGCGTTTGCCCTCTCCACAGGCATGCTATGATCACAGGTCACCCCGCTCCTAATAGCACTGTCTGGAGCCCCATCCCTTACCCCAGCCATGGGGGTGGGGAGACGCACAACAACGCTTGGGTCAGTAGTATTATGGCATATGACACTATGTCCCCTTGCTGGCTTTGGGAAGTGCCAGGGATGAACTCTGTAAATAGAAAATGGCATCACTAAGTTCCATGGCAGCCACAAGGCCTGAGCCAGTGTCCCCAGAAAGACCGGGCTGTGGCCACAGGGCTTTGGCATCAGGAGCACAGCTTGCCCCTCTGAGCAATAGGAGGAGAGGGCTGGCTGAGGCCATCACAGGACAGACACCCTGAGCCCAGCTTCCAAGATGAGAAGTGTACTTGGGAACACGGGGCAAAATGGGGTGGCTTCCCCTCGGGTCCAGCCAGGCCTTCTTCCCAGAAAAGGGGTTGTGAGCAGCATATAGCAGGGGAAATAGACCCAGGGAGTATCTCCCAAGGCAGGGGTTAGGGCTTGGAAGGCCATGGGGTTCCAGTCTGTGAGCCTCTGGCCTTTCTACAGTCTCCCTCCTTAGGGCTGGGGCCATCTGGACTTCTGTTTCTTTCTTTTTTTTTTTCTTTCTTTTTTTTTGGTTTTTCGAGGCAGGGTTTCTCTATAGCTTTGGAGCCTGTCCTGGAACTCACTCTGTAGACCAGACTGGCCTCGAACTCAGAGAGATGCGCTTGCTTCTGCCTCCCGAGTGCTGGGATTACAGGTGTGCACCACCACCGCCTGGCATTTGTTTCTAATGGGAGCTGAGACCATGCCTGATACTCAGCATCAGGATGTTATTCACCCCCTCTAGGGAACTGTCTTCACTGACTAACAAAAAGAGGAGCTTGGCTAGGAGGCATGGGTGGTCTTCTCAGTCTTCCATTGTCTCCCAGCCTGACTTCCTTTAAGAATGTGCCCAGTCAGCTCAGTCCCTCCCCCTTTGCCTGTGTCCCCTCAAAGGCCATAAAATAACTGCCATCCCCCACACTATGTCCATGCCCGGTCTTGGATCTGTAGCTGCCCCTGCATGTGGTCTTAGCCGATGTCCCTCACAGGGGTAGGGGGACACATCGGTGCAGGCACTGGACGGCCACAGGTGTACAGCTAGGAGTTGAATTTCCCCGGCTGGTGGCTGTTCACAGACACTGCTTAGATGCCTTTGCCAGGTAGAGTGGAAGCAGGGCTGGACTCTGGAGGATCAGGGTCAGAGAGCTTCCAGGAGGGGGTGGTACAGCTGAGGCCTGTGGGCAGAGTGCATGCTGGCCTGTGAGGCTGAAGGCCAGCCCACACTGGGATCAGAGTGGCAGGAACAACCTGCGCAAAGGCCCTGGGGAAGCGGGACAGTGTGTGCAGCGTGTCAGAATGCTAAGGGCCCTGGGATTTTGCAAGCTGAGCTGCAGCCCCACCCTGTCTCCCTCTCTAGGGCTGGTATTTGTCCATGGCTGGAAGGGGGAGCAAGCACAGTGGGCACAGTGGCCACAGGGCATGAAGAAGAGGCACAGAAGGGCAGTTAACACAGGCTATCCCTATGTATAAGGAGGAGGTGGGTAGCTTCGGGGACATGGGCCGCACTTAGGAAGGACATTCTGCATGTGGGGCACTCTGCACACAAAATCTCCTATTACCTTAAATTCTCACGTAAGGGCAACTGTCAACCACATACATAGACAGGAAGCTGGAGCCTAGAGAGGACATACTACTGAAATCACATCGCCTGGAAGTGGTACGGGCAGGTCTTGAGCCCACGGCACTCTGTCCTGGCCATTGGCAGAAGCCAGTAATTGCCCCAGGCCCCCCTCAGGCCCCCCTCAGCCAAGGGAGGTCACCGGCCTGAACTGTCTCTCTGCACCTCTCCAGTGGAGTGTCCGGATCCTGCTGTCCGTCACAGAGCTGTCAGGCTGTAACTCATACCGCACTCATCTGTGTGATCCCCACAGTGACGACCAGTGATCCCGTAAAAGATGGGCAATTTACCAGGTTTAATTTGATGACCACATAAACTATCAAACACAACAAGGGAATGAGAAGGCCACCAGGTGTCTGGGCAGTTTAACGGCTCCTCTAGAGAGGCTGCAGTCTCCCTCCCCAGCTGGATCTGTCCTGTTCCTGAAACTCCTGGGGCTGAGACTGGAGTTGGCCTTGGGAAAGCAAGGTGGCCAGGGACACTTGGGCAAGATGGATAGGCAGCAGATAGGGGAGTGGAAAGGCCTTGGGTCCCTGCCTCCCACTGCTGCTCCATTATCCATCAAACATCTCTGAGAGGTGCAATTTAGACTCTATTATGATGCAGAGTCTCGGGAGGCTGGGGACTGTGGCCATGAGCTCAATGGGAGGAGAACAGATGTCCGTGCCAGAGACTGTGGTGGCAGCCTTGGCTTTGGCCTTAACAAGTCTGGCTCTGCTCAGGGCACTGGCCCAGAACAGCCAAGGGCAGAGGCTTCCTGTGTCCCTCAAGATAGAACTCATCAGCTGGCCGGGAGCAGGTGTCTTCTGGCCAAACTCAAGCTCAGGCAGAGGTGCTGGGCCACAACCCCAACACAAAGTGAGGCAGCCTGGGAGCAAGCCGAAGCCCTCTGTCTCCAGCCTTGCCCTGTCCCACTCCTCATCCCTGTTCACAAAGTGACTTGTGATGAGACCTTCAGGCTCCTTTAAGAGGAGACAAGTGTGTGGCCAGAGGTCTGGGTGTCTGTGACCTTGGAATGGCTGGGCCCCTTGCCTCTCTGTACTGCAGACTTCAAGTTGTGAGAAAGAGAACAACAGACTGTGTATATGACCATCAGGCACAGCATGGGCTGCCTGTGCTGTGAATAAGACGGGGCTGGCTCAAGGGCTAAGCTATTTGGGTGTATATGCTGTCTTTAGCTTTGGATCCCAAGGTAATGAGCACAGCAAGAGGATTAGGTCAGGCCTGGAACAGCTTGGAATGTCCATACCACACACAGAGCAACAGGAGTCTGGTGAAGACAAGAGAGCCCTCAGTCCCAACCCATAGGCTGGCTGGGCCTCGGTCTCGGTGGGGTAATGGAGTGATGCAGTGAGATTCTAGGTCTAGGAGCACATCTGGATTCCACAGCCTCCTGCCAGCAGGGCTGTGCTGCAGTTTCTTCAGAATGGGTCGGTACCAATTTCTTTGTAGAAATACTTGACAAGGGTCTGTTGTGTACCAATGACTAGGCTAGACCCTAATGGGTAAGAGACCCCATAGCTCTAAAGTAAAGCACATGCTAACTGGTGATGAGTCTGTAAACACTGAGCAGAGAGAAGGCATATTCTGGGGTTACAGTTTTTGGCGAGGTGACCAGGAAAGGCCTCACCTGTAGGAAGTGTGGGGGGGAAGGGGGCAGCATGTGTCTCTGAGGATCAGCTCTGGGAAGAAGGAAGTATGACTCGGGGCAGCAGAGTGGGTCCAGCTGCTTCAGAGGAGAGGGATGCAGTACAAAATATCCCAGTGCCTGCTAGCTGGCTGGAGGTGGAGGAATGGTGGGCAGATGAGTGGAGGAGGCAGGCTAGGGAACACCGCAAGACACTGAGTGAGAGACGCATGAGGAGAAGAGGGGTCCGGGGAGCTTCAGCAGGGACCAGCTTGATGTCAAGGCTTCTGTTGAGGACTACCAAGGAAACAAGACCACAGTGAACCCCAGGGCAAGGTAGACAGAACTGCTCAGTGTGCAGGGAAGGTCACAGCCTGAGGAACTGTGGAGCCGGGCAAGTGGGCCAGGCAGGCTGCATAAGTGAGTGAGTAGGGAGAGGGATGGATTGGACCAAGGGATGCATGGCTGAGTGGATGGACAGAGCGGAGGCCACCTGGAAGACCTAGCAGAGGCTGCAGTGTTTTCGCAGCATCCTGGGGGAGGGGGAGGCCACTGGATAGAGAAAAGCTGCCGGGAACAGAGAGGGACCGATGAGGGAAGGGTGCAGTGTAATTGAGAAATAGAGACACCTGATTCCTAGAGCACCCTGGTGAAGTCCCGTCTGGTCACTCGGCAGGACCCGGTCATGCTCCGCACTCCAGAGCTATTCTCCCAGAGAGAGAAGTCATCACATTCCGCCCTGAAAGCCTCCTTGACCCTGAGGTTTACTGCAGACCTTTGCTAGCTGTATGAAGACACCCTTTTTTACTGAGATTGAAAGATAATTTCTCTTTAATTGATTTTTTACCACTGTGAACAGTAAAATAATGAGAAAACTCTATGCTGCAATTTTTCTATTTGCGAAAACTGAAATTACACCTTGCAGAAAAATTTCCTCAGCGTGCAGACACCTCCCTCCTTTACTTGTCTCATTTCTTTAAATCAAGAAAGCTGATGTGTAAGTGTACGTGTGTGTGTGTGTGTGTGTGTGTGTGTGTGTGTGTGTGTTTGCATATGTGTGTGTGCCCTGTTATTTCAGCTGGGGAGAGACTAGGTATGGAATAGTTCCCCAGAAAACACAGAACACCGAGCCAGGAGTCAGGTCTGTTGACACTTCATTCTGTGTATGGAACACATGGTTGACAAACAGGACGTAGTGTTTCACCACCAGACAAGGAGCTCGGTGCTCTCCACTGCCCACCAGTGACAATGTCAGCTGTGTCTCTCCTGAAGGTTGTGGCGACACGCCTCTTGAGCTCACAGCCTCCCAGAAACAAGCTTTTCCTTCAGACCCTGAGTCCATTCCAGAATTAGGTCTATCCCAGTCCTGTTAGAAATGATGGCTCATCCATGACATCTATCCCACTGGCCGGCCCCATTTGTGTGACCCTTAAAGATGGCTTATCAGGAGCTGTGAGGTCACAGCCCCGGATGCAGCAGCACACATTAAATGCCCTAGGGTGTTGGCTCCTCTCAAGGACCAGACCCTCCTGATGAGATTCACAGTGAACATCAGTCACCCTGGCCGGGGAGCTCACCTGTCTCCAGATTGGCATGAAACAGGCCTCCCTTGCCGCCTGGCCTCAGCCCCACGAGGCCCCGCTTTCCTGACTCCCTCCCCAGACCCTGTCACCGTCTCACACTCAGCACACCTATCTTGTGCTCCTTGCAGGTGTTGAGGCTCCAGGTTAGGTGGGTCAGGCCTCCACCCGCTGTCCACCATGGTGGTGGCACACCCTACTGCCACCACTACCACCACACCCGCTGCCACCGTCACAGCCACTGTCGTGATGACCACAGCCACCATGGACCTGCGGGACTGGCTGTTTCTCTGCTATGGCCTCATTGCTTTCCTCACGGAGGTCATCGACAGCACCACCTGCCCGTCAGTGTGCCGCTGCGACAATGGTTTCATCTACTGCAACGACAGGGGACTCACATCCATCCCCTCAGACATCCCTGATGATGCCACCACCCTCTACCTACAGAACAACCAGATCAACAACGCAGGCATCCCTCAGGACCTCAAGACCAAGGTCAAAGTGCAGGTCATCTACCTGTACGAGAATGACCTGGACGAATTCCCCGTCAACCTGCCCCGCTCCCTTCGAGAGCTACATCTGCAGGATAACAACGTGCGCACCATTGCCAGGGACTCGTTGGCTCGCATCCCGCTGCTGGAGAAGCTGCACCTGGATGACAACTCCGTGTCCACCGTGAGCATCGAGGAGGATGCTTTCGCTGACAGCAAGCAGCTCAAGCTACTTTTCCTGAGCCGGAACCACCTGAGCAGCATCCCATCGGGGCTGCCACACACCCTGGAAGAGCTGCGGCTGGATGACAACCGCATCTCCACCATCCCGCTACATGCATTCAAGGGTCTCAACAGCCTGCGGCGCCTGGTTCTGGATGGCAACCTGCTGGCCAACCAGCGCATCGCGGATGACACCTTCAGCCGCCTGCAGAACCTCACAGAGCTGTCGCTAGTACGAAACTCGCTGGCTGCCCCGCCCCTCAACCTGCCCAGTGCCCACCTGCAGAAGCTCTACCTGCAGGACAACGCCATCAGCCACATCCCCTACAACACACTGGCCAAGATGCGGGAGCTGGAGAGGTTGGACCTGTCCAATAACAACCTCACCACACTGCCTCGAGGCCTGTTTGATGACCTGGGGAACCTGGCACAGCTGCTCCTCAGGAACAACCCCTGGTTCTGTGGCTGTAACCTCATGTGGCTGCGGGACTGGGTGAAGGCACGGGCTGCGGTGGTCAATGTGCGGGGCCTCATGTGCCAGGGCCCTGAGAAGGTCCGGGGCATGGCCATCAAAGACATCACCAGCGAGATGGACGAGTGCTTTGAGGCGGGATCACAGGGCAATGCGGCCAACGCTGCTGCCAAGACCACAGCCAGCAACCACGCCTCCGCCACCACGCCCCAGGGCTCTCTGTTTACCCTCAAGGCCAAGAGGCCAGGACTGCGCATCCCCGACTCCAACATTGACTACCCCATGGCCACCGGTGATGCTGCCAAGACATTGGTCATCCAGGTGAAGCCACTGACGGCAGACTCCATCCGAATCACATGGAAGGCCATGCTACCTGCCTCCTCTTTCCGGCTCAGTTGGCTGCGTCTGGGCCACAGCCCGGCTGTGGGCTCTATCACAGAGACCCTGGTGCAGGGGGACAAGACCGAGTACCTGCTCACAGCCCTGGAGCCCAAGTCCACCTACATTATCTGCATGGTCACCATGGAGACTGGCAACACCTATGTGGCTGATGAGACACCTGTGTGTGCCAAGGCAGAGACGGCTGATAGCTACGGCCCTACCACCACGCTCAATCAGGAACAGAATGCTGGCCCTATGGCAGGCCTGCCCCTGGCTGGCATTATTGGTGGGGCCGTAGCTCTTGTCTTTCTCTTCCTGGTCCTGGGAGCCATCTGCTGGTACGTGCACCGTGCTGGTGAGCTGTTGACCCGAGAGAGGGTCTACAACAGGGGTAACAGGAAAAAGGATGACTACATGGAGTCAGGGACCAAGAAGGATAACTCCATTCTGGAAATCCGAGGCCCAGGACTGCAGATGCTACCCATCAACCCATACCGCTCCAAAGAGGAGTACGTGGTGCACACCATATTCCCTTCCAATGGCAGCAGCCTCTGCAAGGGCGCCCACACTATTGGCTATGGCACCACACGGGGCTACCGGGATGGTGGCATCCCTGATGTGGACTACTCCTACACATGAAGCTTGCCACTCCCAGTGTGCCCACACGGCTCTGTCTAGCCCGCTGCAATACCAGGAGCCAGGAAGAGAAACTCCGCAGTGACTTTCCCAGCAGAGAGCAAAGTTTGGGGAGGGTTGGTGAACACAATAGTAGGGTTAAAATTTTTTTTTTAAACACATAGAAGGCAAGAGGGAAATTCAACATTGTTGGAGACATAATTTATACTGGATCACGAGAGTTAGGACTAATAATCTAGCGGGAAGGGTTGGATTGGGACTTTTTTTTTTTTCCTGAACCAGATCGATACTACCTGTACAACATTTGTGTACACCTCGAACTCCATCCAGGGCCATCGGAAAGAAACAGATGACCAATAGACATGATGGCATGGAGCCCCCCAGCAACCATCGTGCTGCCTGCTCACGGTGACAGCTCAGTGAAAAGGCTTCGAGTTCCTCACAAAAGAGCCAGCGGAAGAAGACTTTTTGCTACGGAGATACTGTCCTGAAATCTCTTCCCTGGTTCTTTCCATGCTTTTTCTTTCCAGATCTGCAGAAATATGGCGTTCTCCGTGGTATTCTCCGAACAATACCATAGTCAATTAAAAAAACAAAAACAAAAACAAAAAACAGTCGAACTTTTCCTTCCAGTGCCGAGCGCTTCGGTTCCAGTCACCGAACTCCGCAGAAGCCCTGACGGAAGCCGTAGCTTTCCCTGCCACGTGGAGGCGCATCTGTCTGCCCGCCTATTGCCATGTCACGTGTCTCAGTACAGATGGGTAGATAGAGCTGCGTGTCTGTCCTCTCCGCACTTCTTGGGTCAGTCCTTGACATTTCCTCAGACAATAGAATTGCAAAAATTTTGCTTTCTCCTAGAAATCGTTGAGTAAGTAAGTAGACCATGTGTGGGGTGAGAGTGAGGTGGAGGGGAGGGGCCTCAGCCAGGTGGTAGGAGGGGCCTCAGCCAGGTGGTAGGAGGGACCTCAGTCCAGGTGGTAGGAGGGACCTCAGTCCAGGTGGAGGGGAGGGGCCTCAGCCAGGTGGTAGGAGGGGCCTCAGCCAGGTGGTAGGAGGGGCCTCAGTCCAGGTGGAGGGGAGGGGCCTCAGCCAGGTGGTAGGAGGGGCCTCAGTCCAGGTGGAGGGGAGGGGGCCTCAGCCAGGTGGTAGGAGGGGCCTCAGTCCAGGTGGAGGGGAGGGGCCTCAGCCAGGTGGTAGGAGGGGCCTCAGCCCAGGTGGAGGGGAGGGGCCTCAGCCAGGTGGTAGGAGGGGCCTCAGCCCAGGTGGAGGGGAGGGGCCTCAGCCCAGGTGGAGGGGAGGAGCCTCAGTCCAGGTGGAGGGGAGGGCTTCAGTCCAGGTGGTAGGAGGGGCCTCAGCCAGGTGGTAGGAGGGGCCTCAGCCCAGGTGAAGGGTATTGCTATTTTTTAGAGGCGCTGGTATCTGCATCCCACTGGAGAGTTAGGGAAAATCTGGCTGATGGTTTGGATTCCATCCTGTCAACCTAGAGCCAGGCTACTCTCCTTTCTGATATGGAGAAAAAGCTTTCCTTGATGACCAGTGAGTGCCCTCATCTGTCCCTCCCCCATAGATCCCATCTCCACGATAGTGTTTAAGCTTTCTCCTGGGACAGGTAATTAGTGCAGGGACTGTTTATAAATATATGTGTAACACACACACACACACACACACACACACACACACACACACTGGCTGGCTAGACCCATTGGTTTCCATGGCTGCTCAAACAAAGCCCAGAAAAAAGGGAAAAAAAATTTTCAGAAAATCCCTGGGAGACACACACACACACACACACACAAACATGCACACATGTACAAAATCTCAACCATGCCCACACCAGGGGCTCTGTTCTCAAAAGGGAAAAATCAGATTTCTTTGTAAAAAACATCAACCTCCAAAAGGGTGCTGACCGGGGCCCTCAGAAGAGCTAAGATTTTATTCCCTCCCTGTGGAATCAATGTCGTTATCATTTATCAACTGACACCACAGTGTGGTGAGCCATGAGATTAAAACGATGATAAAATAATGACAGCAAATCCAGAAAGGAGGGAAGAGCGGTGCCTGCAGTTCTGATGTCTGCTTCGTCCTGTACTGGGGAGCCCGGGTCACCATCTGTCAACGGGTTCCTTTGCCCTGCACTGGGAAAAAAGTCATCAAAGGAAGACACTGGTCTGAGGGCAGCCGCATGAGAAGGGGTCCAGCTCCTGACTGTGTTTTCAAGAGACCTCTGCCACTCTATCCAAAGCAAAGGCAGGAAGAAGCAGCCAGCCAGCTGCCCCAAGTGTACCTGGGGGGCCATCCTCTTGCTGGACATTAAAGAGCCAACTGGCCCTTCAGTGAAGAGATGAAATACAAAGAAATGGACCAGCAGGTGCCCCAGAGTAGTGGACATAGGAACAGGCTCCTGATCAGAACCCAAGGGGTCATCATACCAAATGGAGACCCCAGCCCACCAGCCCCAGGGAACGGCCAAGGGGTATGGACATGGATCATTGGAAAGGAGACCTTTCTTCCCTCTTCATCCCAAGTCATTTCCCCACATAATGAAGTCAAGAGAGAAATGTTCCCGAGCCTCAGATTCAGGTCTGTATAAATGTGCACCCTGGAGCCCAGCTGTCCCCAATGACCCTAATAGCACCCTAGTCCTGGTGGCTTAGGCAGGCTCAGAGGAGGCCCATCTGTGAGGAACAGGTATGTGAAGGAGAGTCCCAGATGCCGAACAAGTCATCAAGGCACTATGCCAGCCTTCCCCGGGGTCCCAGGAAAGTAGAACCCCCAAGTCCCCACCCCTACCTTGCACCTGTAATTTACCCTGTCCCTAGACTCACCCATGTTCCCCTTTCTATTCCCTGCCCCAGAAGGGTCTGGTCACTTTCTTTGGTGACCAGGAAAACTTTTGGAGCTGCCTGGAAGGCTGGAAGGCCCTACTTGGAGATTCAGGAACTTGTGGGCCAAATGCTAGAGCTGTGGTGAACTTCCTCCCCCATCACTTAGAGCAAGCCTGACCCACACAGGAGGCTTGGCAGTCACAGGCAGAACGTCAAAACTTGAGGACCAAATCCATCTGCTCTAGTGGGGCTCACTGCACATTACACCCAGCTGGAGAGCCCAGGGCTGGCACTGCCCCTAAGGAGCGCTAACACTGCCCAGCCATGGCCCTGCAGCCCCTGAGAGCCCTTCCTGTGTCATTTCTGCCGCTTCACGTGTTAACGTTTTCCCAGTACTCTTTATTCTGTGTGGGTTGGGGATGGGAGAATACTGGAGATTGAGTCCAGGACCTAGCCATGCAAGGCAAGCACTCTACCACTCAGTACCCCACTCCCCAGCGTCCTTTCGGAAAGCCCCCAAGTGTGACCTTTGTCCCATTCTCCAAAGGAGACAGAGAACCTGCCTTCTGGCCTCATGTTACAGTAGAAGAGGTTGAGGGAAGCCAGGGTTGACCCTGGGAGGCCTATGGGATCCTGTCTCGGTGCCGCTGACATTTCCACAGGGCAGTCTGTGGCGGGCCTGCCTGACCCTCACAGTCCCTAACCAACCAGAACAACCTCGGTGGCCTCAGCCCTGAGGAGTGTATTCTGTGGCATTTAAGCCAGTGACACTTCTTTGGTTAAGTGGTTTACCCTTCGTGGTAATTAGATGCAGCGATTGGAATCTCTTTTTCTATTACATGGCAATTTTACTTTAAATTTCCTCTTTAAAAAAAAAATGGGGAAGAAAAGGCAAGGAAGGAGAGGCAGCAGGGCCACAGGCATTTGCATTTTGCGAATGAAGTCTCTGGTAGGCTCAGCTCAGGCGTGGGGCCCAACGTATGGAATGCTTAAGAGATTACTAAGAATAAAATCTATTAATTAGTCATACTCAATTCCACAGACATGACATGAATCAAAAGCTCCCTTTCTTCCCTCATCTGCATCCTCTTCCTGAGGAAGCCTCCATCTTCCCCGAAAGGCTGCCTCCTGGCCTGCCTCCTCCTTAACGTGGAGCCCTTCTGTGGCCCTGTGTGGGGGATCCTGCCTTGGATAGCAGGTGCTGGGACACTACCCCTTCCTCACCCTGGGCAATGCTGACAGGGAGGTGACAGCCTCCGGGAAGACCACTGTGGTTAGGAGTCCAACCTTCCCTTCCTGGAGCCAGAAGCCCGTACCTGTCCCACGACACCAGCCTCTCCTTCCTTTCCCAGGCTTCCAGTCGGCCAGCCGCCCAGCTCAGCCCCAGCAAGGGAGCCAGGGGCCTGGTATGCAAATGTGAGGCTTCCGTCCCCCTCTTTAAAATGAGGGTGACTGGGGCGAAGGCTTGCTCACGAAGGCCCTGTGAGAGCAACCCCTCCATGCTGAGGAGTCTGGAAGATTCTAATGGCAAAGGCAGTGGGGGAGCCGCTGCTGGGTAGGAAGGGCCAGTGTGGACAACGGAAGGGGTGGGCAGTGTGTCTGGAATGGTCTCCCAGCCTGAGCCTCCTCATTCATTGCCACTGGCAAGAGGAGTAAGGAACAAGCCAGAGCCACACTCAGGACCCTTCCCACCCAGCCCCCCACAAGTGGCAGTTCAAGTCCCAAAGCCAGCCTTCTTCAGACATCTGCTTCCCGCTGAACACACCAGGGAGGGGCCCGGGCTTCAGAGCCTCTTGCTTATGAAAAATACAACAAGGAAAATTGGATGCAGCAGCTGGGGAGCTGTGCAGAGGCAGCAGGGATAGGCTCCAGTGGGCATGGTGGCCTGTGTCCCCCAAGGGCCAGATGACATGTCACAGCCAGGGTCAGGACTGCAGGCCTCCCGTGAGCCGCGTTCCGTACTCACACAGACAGTGGCGCAGGTGACAGCAGCTGATGCCGAGGCTGGATGGGTGCCAGGGTGAGCACTAACAAGCAATTCACAGGCTTTCCAGAGAGCAGAGAGAGGAGGCTTTTTTTTTTGGTAAGGAGGATAAAAAGGCTCAAAAATGCAAATCATTACCGTTTACAACCAAGCGAGTCTGCTAAATTGATTAGAAGAGATAAAACTCCTTGGAGGTGAAGGGAAAGGGGATTTTTTTTTTTTTTTTTTTTTTTTTTTTTTTTTTTTTTGTGGGTTATGAACCTGCCCCAAGTGGCCGCCCACACAGCAGGCATTTTCCAGGCCTGGATGGGAGGGATAGCAGATGTCCCTGCCCAGATCCCTGAGGAGCTGGCATCTCTAAGGATTGCTGGAATTGAAGAGCTCTGGTCAGGGCCTCAGGGACAGGAAGGGTCATCCAGCAGCTGTGCCAATCCCTGGGCAGACTGATCCTGTCTTATGGGATCAGTGTGCCTTAAGAGATGGCAAGTCACATCAGGATCAGAGGAAGCAGCCTGTGCCATCAGGTAGAGAGTAAGACTCCAGAGCCGTGAGATATCCTGCATCCTTATGCTAGGGACCTGCTGCTCTCTGGGGCCAGAGAAAGAGTGAGGCCAGCTGTAAAGAGAAAACTGAAGGCCAGGAGAGGGAAACTTGGGCCCAGCAGAGGAAGAAGCAGTCAGTAAGCTCTCACTCCCATGAAGCATCCAAGCATTATCAGAGGATGTGACAAACAGCTTTCCAGCCTGAGCTAAGGTCTAGGTCTTTGTCTAGAAGATTCTGTTTCCCATGCTTGCTTTATCACAACCCCCAGAACAGGACATACAAAGACATCTTTCCCCAGTCTGCTCAGCAGGTAGGCGAGGGGGGCGCTGGTGGGGGGTGGGGGTGGGGGGTGCTGACAGGACACATGCTGGGCTCAGTACTCCAAGCCCCAGGATGTCCCTGGACTTGTTCCCTCAAGCCCAGCTGCCTCACACCCAGGAGTAACCCACAGTCTCAACACTGCCAGCCTGTCCATCCATCACAGCCGGCTGACGGTGCCTGGGGCTCTGTTCGAACACACACCATTTTTTAGGCATTTGCCCATTCTTTTGAAGCATTCCAACTATTTGTATGAAATGTCCACATTGGCATCTTTAAAAACAACTGATAAGAAGAGTCCCTTTGCTGTCTTCCTACCCTTCAGTTTTGTGTTTTCTTTTTCTCCACCTCACCCCTACCTCTTGAGTCTGGCACTAAACTTCTGATCCTCCAATGCTACCTCCTTTGATTTTTTTTTTTTTTTGGAGACAGGTTGGCCTCAGACCCTCTGTGTAGCTGAGAATGACCGTGGGTTTCCAATCCTCCTGCCTCTACCTCTTTCAGATTTTAATGTATGTTTTTTTCTCTGATTTGGGGAATTTCATCATCCTTGGGGGCACTCCCATTTTCTCATCATAATGGGGCTTGCAAGGTGTGCCACACAGGGGAAGGGCACCAGCACTCTTCATGTCTCCCCTGACCTGTGTCCAGACAACTCTAGCCTGGGGCTGCTCCTGCTTCCGGAAGCCACCCTGGGTTCTCTGAAATCACCATCACAAGCCCTTGTTGCTGAATTGTCCAGCTTGTGCCAGGAAAGAAATGTGGATATGTGGTGGGCAGTGTGCCTGGTGGGTGGGTGGATCAGCCTCCACTTCATACAGCCCCACTCCCCAGACACTGCAGCCATCACAGTTGAATTATCAGCAGTTTGGTTCCCCTACCCACCCACCTGGGGTCACTGAGGGGACCAGCAGGGGACCTCTTACCACCCTCCCTTCCCCCCTGCTATCTGTTCAGTCACGGGGAAGGCCTGAGGGTTGGCAGTGAAGGGCCACTTTCTGTCCTCCACCTGGCTGGTGGCCTGTCCAGTGACCTGGTGAGGAGAGGGGCTCACCTGGGCAACTCCTCCCAGAAGCGTCCCACCCTGCTTTGCTTCAGGACTGGTGTGTCTCCAGCAGACGGACGGGAAATGAAGATTCAAAGAGGTCTGGCAGCAACCACAGCCTGAAAGGGTGACTCAGTTTCCCTTCTCCAAAATTTGCATCAAGTGGGTGAGGAGGATTGGCAGAAAACTAGAGACCTGAGGGAGTGGTACAAGAAACAAGAGCCAAAGCAACAGCCTGCCTGGCCTGCCACCCCTGCAGAGAGTCCCCGCATCCCAGCCACCCGCTTGGAGGAGCTAATCAGACTTTCTCTTCAAGACAGAAAAACAAGCACGACCTGAACCACAATCAGAGCCGCAGCAGGCCCCAGGCTGCCACTGCTCACTCTCCCTGCCTGGGATGGGAGGCAGGGTAGCGAGCGGGCCCTCCACGCCTACCCCTCCTGTACCAGTTCCATCCCTGAAGGTTGTGGGTACAAAGTAGGGAAGCCCTACACACCAAACCCCAAAGTAGCCTTAGGTATTTTCCCCCAGCCCAGCGTGACCACCTGAGAACGGCCTCAACCAAGAAGCCACTTGGGCATCCAGGGTACAGTGTGAGAATGAGGTCCTGGTGTCTTCCAGCCCCTCCAGAGAGGCTGGTGGGAAGGAAACCCCCATCCACCGCTGGAGCCTTGTCATCAGAGAGAAAAAGGAAGATGCGGCACTGGAGGCTGCAGGGCAACCAATCAGGCTGTGGAGACCTGCGCTTGTGCTGGCTAGGGACACCAGCAGGTATGAGCAGGGATGTCAAAGGCACAGGCCACCCCAAAGGACCCCCGTTCCTGTGTCAGGGCTGCAGGGTGGAGGTTTTGGCAGAACCATCTTCCCAGTGGCATCCTGGTGAGCAAAGAGTGCTTATTGGTATTGCCACGTAAACTAGAACAGATGTTGGAAAGTATAACCGGTCCCCGGTTCTGAGGGCCCATGGCCAGCCTCTGGGGAATAGATGGGCTCTTTGCTAAAGAAGGTGGGAGGCCTGCCCATCCCATTGCAGTGAGGCGGGCCTTGAACCACCGATTTCCCAAGCCCATGCCTGCCCCAGCTACAGACTCAGCACCGCTGCTCGCTGCTCGCTCCTCTCTGCTTTCTTTTTCTCTGAAGGGCAAAGCAGTCTCAGGGGTCTGAGTGACAGGAATGCCCCTCCTGCGGTGGCTGCAGTCTGGGAACTGGCAGGCAGATGAGGCCCTGCTCCCTGGGAGGCCTGGCTATGCCCAGCCTCATGGCCCACCTGCTTCACTCCGACTACCACCAGACAGGTTTTTCAGAACACAGCGACGCAAACCCCCCACCACGACAACAACACAAACCAAAGTGCACTCGGAACCGCCCTTTGGCCTCCTTCAATGTAGGTGCCTTGAAACTTCAATGTTGAGATGAATGTGACTAACTACTTGGTCCTATTTTCTGTTTGTCTGTTTCATATAAAATGTCCAAGTCCACTTGCCTTGTCCTTTCTTGAAATAAATAGAAAAATTTAACTTTTACAGTCATCTCAGCTGCTGACTCTGGGCTCCGCAGCCCAGGCATCAGGAGCCAGGTGTCTGGAATACTCCTCCTGAGCAGTCCCAGGCCTTGTTTGGGGCAGGGCAGGGCAGGGCTGGCGGGCAGGGGAGGGGGTGGGCTCTGCTCTTGGGGTCCACTGGCACAGCATAGTAGCCAGACAGGATAGAGACTCTAGGTTTAACAAGCTTCCCTGGCAGAAGCAAACGTTCAGTGTCTGCTCCAGACCCAGGCATGACGGTGCACACCTGTAGTCCCAGCACTTGGGATGTGGAAGCAGGAAGATCAGGAGTTCAAGGCTATCAGTGGCTCCATAATATGAGGACAGCCTGGACTACTTGAGACCATGTCTCATACACACACGCACACACACACACACACACACACACACACAAAAGAGAAAGAAAGAAAGAGAGAAAGAAAGAAAGAAAGAAAGAAAAGAAAGAAAGAAAAGAAAAGAAAAAAGAAAGATGAAATACCAGCCAAAGAAAAAAACATCTAAAACGATTCTGTGATGAGCAAGAAAAGGAGGGACTTGGAACAGGGAGAGCAGCTGACACCAGAAGCTTCTTAAGCCATCCATGCAGGGCAGCCTGGTGCCACATGCAGATGTAGAGAGGGTCTTCACTTGGAGAGTTACTAATAAAAGCTGAGGATTATCCCTTAAGAGGCTCCGGCAGCCATGTGGGCACCCTGATAAGAGCAGAACTGTCCTGGCATTTGGGAATGAGTGCTTGCCCACCACCCCAGTGTCCATCCCCTCCAGATGCCCCTTGTACCCTGCATGCGCCCACTACATTCACAGCTCCAGGAGCCTCATCGGTGTATCTCACACCCCTGGGTGAGGAGAGGAAAAAAATATTTTCATGAGAACAACAGCGATTCCTGCTAAATTTAAGATAAAGCAAGAACTCATTACTCCTCCTTAGATCTGCTCTCACATCTCAGTGGGGGTTAATGAGTTTCCCCTTAAATTCCAAGGAAGCAGTTTTTGCTCCACACGCCTGGATGGCTGGTGGCCCCTGCAGGGGTGACCTTGACGACTCTGGCCCTACAGATGTCTCTCCCATCCCATCGTCCACCCCTTAGACCTCACTTCCCATTATGCCGGGGGCAAGAACTGATCAAGAGGGCCATTCCATGAGACAGCACTAAGATGGCCATTAGGGACAAGAACAAAGTGGGCAGGTTCAGACTGCTAAGGAGATGCTTGGGTGTCGAGGAGGACTCTGTCCTCTCTCTCTCTTCCTCTTTCTGAAGCTGCTCTAGGAGCTTTCTAGAAAATGGCTGGCCAGCCAGTCAGCCAAGAGACGGTTATTGAGGGCTTACTCTGTGCTCGGGCTAGGGATGCAGTGTTCCTGAAACAGCCTGGTGAGGGTTCTCCAGGAGTGAGGAAGGGCAGCCCTGGCTGGGGCTGGGGTCCTGTAGGGAGGTAGGCTCCCACTGAGGGTGTTGCTGCAGATGAAGGTGGAGAGTTTAGGCCCCGTTCACCACCCGAGACAAGGACAGGAAGGCAAGTTCAGGTCTAGGCTCTGCTGGAAGGCTCTGGCCCTGCCCCAGCTGGTCCAGCCCTTGGCTACACCTTGGAGAATTCCTTGCAGGTTCTGGCTTGTCTCGAGCCCTTCCCCATGAAGACCATGAAAGGCTCAATCAGGAGAGCCCCCAAACCCCGCCCAATCCACGGCCTGCTGGCAGTACTCCACAGCACATGACCCTTGCCCAGCTGGGGCACTGTCCAAGCACACAGCAGCTCCACACAGAGAAAGACCACCCACCTGCCATGACCAATGAGGCCATGAAGGGGAATGCCTTCAAGCACAACAGTTAGCAATCCCAGTGGCCACAGCCATCTTCTCCCCTACCCACCTTGGGGACAGTCCTGCCCCAAGCTTACCTTACCTTCCACACACCTGTGACAAGGCTACAAACTAAATGGGAGCTCAAAGCCCCCTGAGCCAGGGCAGAGGGTTGTATTCTCAAGCTGTTCCCAGACCAGCAGCTAACAGAGGCTTAAGGGCTGTGGTCACCACCAGCAAAGCAGCCCAGGGCCTCCTCTTTCCCAAAGAAGTCTCAGAACCGCTTATCACTGAGGGTAAGGGCTGGTGTCCGCTAAGAACTAGAATGGCATGCTGGGCAGTGGTGGTGCATGCCTTTAATCCCAGCAGTCAGGAGGCAGGTTCTGGAGTTCAAGACCACACAGAGAAACCCTGTCTTGAAAAACCAAACAAACAAACAAAACAGAACGGCTGCCTTGCTTCCAAGGGTACCCTAAGATCCAGAGACCCGTGTGATGCATCCCGCTCTACTGTTTGGTCAAACTCTAAAGTAAAAGTGCCCATTCCAAGTCTCCTGCCTGCCCTTATTACTGGATTCTAGAACCTTCCCTTCTCATGCCCCTACTTCCTAAGAGGGGTATCTGGTCTCACAAAGCACCCCAGACATGTGGTGTCCAAACCTATGAAAGGCCCAACACCCCAAGCCACAGCCCCACAGCCGTGTCCTGTGGCAGACTCCTAGCACCCTGTTTAGGAAGGCCCTGACCCATCCGAGGGCATTCCCCTGCTCCTGAAGCGCTGTAGGTATGGGTGGTGTTTGCTGGTCCACTTTCAAGCACTCCAAACAAACTGTGCTCCCAGAACCATACACTCGCCACCTCCCTGCCCTCCTCCACCCATGTCATCTCACAGTGCTGACACAGCCACACACACCCTTGGCCTCTGTGTCTGGCCTCTCCGAAGGACCCTCTAGTCCTGCAGCAAAGTAAATAGGCTCTCTCAGCGCTAACTGACAGCGCAAATGAAATCTTGCGCTCCCCCCTCGGAGATTTACAGGGGAAGTGAAATCTTATTTGCACCACTGCCAAGCCGAGGCCGCGATGAAATTATGCCTCGAGAAGAGACCCGGCTGGCTCCTCGCGGAAGCTGCTGCATCAGAGATGGGCTTATTAAAAGCCATGGTGGCCACATTTCAACCTGTTTCAGGTGTTAAGTAATTTACTGCCACCCAGAATTCAGTGACAGGCTTTTATCATTTTTATTTCCGTGATGCAGGCAGACACACACACACACACACACACACACACACACACCCAGAGACCCCTGCTTAGTGTTCCTCCTATCTCCCCCACCTTGGCACACCAGCGGGAATCGGGGTGAGGCTAGGACCACGGCGGCAGCAGATACCCTGGCTTTCCCCAGGGTCTCACCAAGGCTCAGCATCACCAGAAGGAAAAGGAAGCCTCTAAGAGTCCCTCACACACACATGCAGGGCCCAACCATCCCCAGAGAGCCCTCAGGAGGTTTTCCGAAGGCGGCAGAGGCATTAGCTACATAAGAACAGAGATCGTCTCTGTCTTAAGCCAGCCACCAGATCAACTGGTCTTTACTGAGCAACTGTTGTATACTAGGCTCTGCTTGGACAGAGCACGCTGCTGCCAAGGGGCCCTCATGTCACAGAGAGGTCACTTTCTACCCTTAAGTATCCAATAAATATTCCCGATGGTTAATGAAAACCTTTGGGCTAGGGATGTAGCTCAGGTGGTAGAGAGTTTGCCCAGCATACACAGGGTCTTAGGTTCTGTCCCCAGCACTGATAAACTGGGAGTGGAGGTGTACATCTGTAATCCCACTCAGGAGGTGGAAGCAGAAGAATCAGGAGTTCAGGGTCATTCTCAGCTACATACAGAATTCTAGGCTAGCCTAAGCTATGTGAGATCCTCAAAAGTAATAATAATTTAAATAAATATTCCTAGGCTAAAGATGTAATTCAATGGCAAGGCACTTGCCTAAATGTACAAAACTCTGGGTTCAATCCCCAGAAAAGTGCCATCCGATGTCAGAAAGAGTCTTGCCTGTGGAGGCTCTGCAGACAGTCTTGCTGTGGGGGCTCTGAAGGAGAGGGTTGGAGAGGCAGAACTCAACTTCAGGGGGCATCTGCACCCTGCCCATCATCGCAGTGGACCTCTCCATGCCAGGAGGATCTCAGCCCTTCACTGCTCTGGAGAATACCCAGTCTTTCCCCTTCACCTCCCCATGACTGCTGGGGAATGCAAAGGCTCCTGTTCTCCAAGAGCTAAGATCAAAGGGAGCTACAGTCTGGGCCATGGGTGGGAAGCAGCCCCATGTCGCCCTTCCTCAGCAGCACTGGGTGAGGACTGTTTGATGCTTGCAGGCTGTGGGGGGATTAGGCCTATTACAGAGGCTCTGGGGGTTTATCCAACGCCCCCTTTCTCCACCTGTTTTCAGATAACTCCAAGAAGACCAAGGGGAATCTTCAAAGTCCAGGCTGAGCCAAGAGCAGAAATTCTTTAATTAGCTTTCTTTTGGATCGGGGCCCTGGCGAATGGATTAGTCATGGTGGGGGGCAGGAGGAAGGGATCCGACTCCTCTTTAAAGCAGAGATTACAAGCCTGGGGTGAAGGACCCGGGGGCGGTCTCTGGGGACAGGAGGACTCCTGAGTGGGCCCTCCCCAACCAGCAACTCCCGGGGAGTTGGCAGATGGAAGCAGCCATCAGGAGGATGGAGATGTTCTCTGTTGAGCCCTCCAGGAAGCCGGCGTGAGAGACTGGTGACGTAGCCCAGGCTGTGTGCCTGAATCTCCTAATGAGTGTGTGCCTCTTCCCCATGTGACCATTCAGATCTCTAACTTCATAATTAGAGGGGATTTCCTAAAGGGGCACCCATCTGTGAGAGGCAAAGCAGCAGGCCTGCCGGTGCCAGGCGCCAGGCATCTGTCACCATGTGTCACCACATCACACCCCCAAGGCAGTGTGACACAGTTGTCTTGCTTATAAGCAAGTACCTTTTTGTTGTCGTTGATTTGTTTTGTTTTTGAGATGTAGTTTAGTATATACCCCAGGCTGTCCTCAAACTCATTATGTAGCTGAGGCTGGCCTGATCTTTCGGCTCCTCCCAGAGTACTGGAGTTGCAGGGGTGCATCACCAAGCCCAGTTTATACTTGCAGCACTAAGCAAGCACTCTGCC